CCTGGTGTAAGAGTTTCATTAAAAAAGACAATTTTTTAGTGTTACATTCACAAAAATTAACATGTTTGAGGTATGGAGAAAGACAGTTTGGTATAAAAGCGTTGATTTTTAGAGATAACAAGTTATACATGAAAGGAAATATTTTTAAAAATAATAAATTTAATAAGGATAAATTGTAAAATTTCTTTTTTTTAATAACATCAACAATTTAATTGCCTTGATTTTGATGAGCTAATTAGAAATGATTTATACAAAAGAGCATAGGGAAGAATTTTGAGTTAGATTCCTTGCCTATTAATAAAGACTACCTTGGCGAACAAAAAATAACTGAATAAATAAATGATGACTACTTCTGTCAAAAAATAATAATAAATAGAGACTACCTTATCCATAACGAACTTTGTAAGGATCTCCCCTAAAGTTAAGGGTGCTACTTGCTAGAAACGTAAAACGCAATCTTCAAGTGAGTAGTGTCAAACATTTCAGAACAGGGAAAATTCAAAAAAAGAAAATATTCGGATAAGGTCGATGGGAAAATTCCGAGCTGACGAGGGTTCAAAATTCAATGTATTTACTATTTAGTCTTTCAGGGTTAGGATTGGGCCTCAACCCAGATCGCCGAGAGAACTTAGCGAGCAGCCCATTGACACACAGATGGCTGTTCTCCAACTCAATTTAAAGAAGCCCAAAAACTTGGCCTAATAGGAAGGGGGGAAAAATAAATAGCGGAAAGCCTTCTCTATTTATCAGAGCCAGGTTTCGATCCTGGGACCTGTGGGTTATGGGCCCACCACGCTTCCGCTGCGCCACTCTGATTGTTAGTTTAAGCTTCTCATATTTTTATATAAAATTAGCACGAGCATCAAAACAGCAAGGGAGTGAAAACAAAATGAAAAGTGGGGCGATGAGTGGTCCACATACAAGTCACGGTGGATAGGCATACGTGACAGACATTACGTGGGATAAAGGATATGGCGTGGAACTTATCTTTTCCTCTTATGAAATTAGTTTACTCTATCCAAGCCACGTGATTCTCAAACAAACAACTAATTAAGTATTAGCAATGGAGTTTTGTATATGAATATGTTAATCTTGGTTTTTGATGAGATGAGATTCTTCTGAGTTAATCAGACATGAATCAGACAGACGCCTATACGGACTCCATCGTCTTGAGTGTGAGACAGCCTCAGAATTAATACTACTATTAATATTAATTAATTAACGTAACACGGCAAGGCAAGAGGTAGAAGAAATTGACGTGGATACAGATCCTCACTTGGAAGATCTCTCAAGAGTCTCACTCCCATCATTGTTTGTATTAATTCTTTTTTATGTCTTTTTCCTACTTTTGCCCTTTTCGCTTTATCTTTTTGCTTACGTCTTCCTCATGAATGTTCAAGCATTTTTTTTCTTCATTTTTATCATCTCTGTTTTCTTTTCTTTTTTTTTTTTAACTAAACAATTTGTTTGCCAATATTCGACTCCACCGCCCCGAAAAAAGGCACATAAACGTGAGTTTACAACTAAATGCTTTTGCTCGTATAATTATTTTTTCTTTCTCAAGCATGTTAGGTATACTTATTCTAGTTTTCTTGCTCTCTATACTGTAGCTCTTTCAATCTCTTGCCACTTATTTTGGTAATTAATGTTCTTTATTTATTCGAGAAAAAGAGCACTCCTTTCGGTCTTCAAATCTTCTCCTTAATTGCTAAATCTTCAAATATATTTTCTCTCTTTTTTCTTAATTCCATCACTATTCTTAATATTTGTTCATAATAAAAAAGTTAGAGAGTAATAATATAATTTTGGTATGTGTCATTCTGACTCATGGGTCATGTTAATCATTCATGTATCGTTCCAATTTTATCGGATATATCTAGAGAGACATAGCAATCCTAAAAGTTGTATAAAGACTTGATGAGGTGGTCCATATGTATTGCATAACATTTGAGTATGTATGCTCATTTATAAATAATATGACTTTTTTTTTAATATATACAGTTTTTGAAACAAGAATTCTACCACTTTTAAGTTTTAATTCAATTAATTACTGAGGGTTATATAAAGAATTGATGATGCGGTCATTATGCGTTGCATAACATTTGAGAATACATGCTAAATTATTACTTTTTTATTATTATTATATCTGGAGATAATATCCAATTAAGATATTTATTTTTTCCGTCCTCCGCAACGTGCACAGGACAAAGAAAGGAGGCAGAAATAGGAAAAACAGTTGAATTTGGGGGTATATATGATAATATGAGCTGAGGGAACCACTCAACCCACAGTCCTTTATAAAGCCATCTGTCTTCTTCATTGCTGGAGCTTGAGATCCTTCTGGAGGAATATCGGAGAGAAGAAATGTTGGAAGGTAAGGCCTTGATAGAGGACACAGACATGCCTGTAAAGATGCAGATCCAAGCCATGGCTTCTGCTTCTGAGGCTCTGGATCTCTTTGATGTCGTTGATTGTAAATCCATCGCCGCCCATATCAAAAAGGTATTAACTTTCTTCCTCTCTGTTTCGTTGTCTCTCTCTGAAACCTGAACAAGTTGATGAAAGTATTTTGGTCTGTGAGTTGCAGGACTTTGATACCAGATTTGGGTGTGGATGGCAGTGCGTGGTGGGTTCAAGTTTTGGGTGTTTCTTCACTCATTCTCAGGGGACTTTCATTTACTTCACACTTGAGACTCTCAATTTCCTCGTCTTCAAAGGAGCTTCTTCACCTTCTTCCCCTTTCTGAAAATGACCTAAGCTCGTGTGTGTCTCCTTGTAAAAAAAGGGTTTCATCAAATCGAACTACCTGAGAAAAAAGTGCAGTTCTTTTTGTTGCCTTTTTCTTTCCCCTGGTGTTGGACTTGGAACTTGAAACTTATGGTGAGGAAGAACTGAGAGAGAAAGAGAGCAGGAGCAGCAACTTTTCCTGTGATCTGTTAATGCTTTGAAGTTTCAAGTTTGAAAAGAAGTTGCAGTGTTCATTTGTACATATAAATAAATGCTTAACCCATTACATACATATTCTCTTCTGCAGATCATTTTCATTGTTCTTGTTCCTTTTTCTTCTCTGGCTGGCATTTGGTTTTTCAGTCAACGTTATCTAGAAGACTGTCAGAGGAGGGGGAAAAAGGGCAAAAGACGCCCATCACATTATAACTGGAAATGAATAAACAATGTTAGTGAGTGCCTGTGGATGTTTTAATAATCAAATAGAAAACTGAACCTTTATTATTTTTTAATTGATGACAGTTAAGATTCCTTCCTCAATTTAATGATTTTTAGGTTTTAAAAATTTTGTTAAGAGATAAGTTGTAAATAACAATTCAAAAAATTATATAACAGTATGAATTAACTTTCGACAAAAAATTTTAGAGACTTAACTGATATGAGATTTAAGTTTTGAAACTTAATTCATTTTTTTTTATTTTTTATTATCATGTTGAGATAATTTAAAAATATACTCTTTCTGATCTTATTTTTAAGTTATTTTCACCTACCTTATCAATACTATTACAATAAAAATATAAAAAATAAAATTTCATAAAATCACAAACATAATTTTAAAAGAATAAATAAATTATATAATATCATTTTTTATTTTTTTTTTAACAATAATTTAGATATTTCATTTAAAATAAAATATCATTGTCAATCTAATAATTTATAAAGTAAATCACTTTACTTTTTTAAAAAATGATTAACAAAGTAGATCAGAGGGAGTAATTAATACTAAAATTTAAAAAAAAAACTGAATGTGATATTGAAAAATAAAAATACATCCAATGTGCTTATGATCTATAATGTATGGTAAACTACGTTAAAAGTGACTCAAACATTGTAATTCAACTTTTTTTTTTTCAAATTTTAAATGATACAAGGATAGCACTAGTTTATTGTCATTCTTGTCTCCTGGCAAGAGATTGTCACCGTTAGGTAAACATGATACGATAAGATATGTGATTTAATCACATCACACCAATTTATTGCATACAAGAAAGGCAGAGAAAGTGAATTTAGTTTCGCCCAAGATACATCAAATACAAGAGACAATGATCTGAATAACAATTATTTGGATGTAACCTCTTCTACAGACCTATGATGAGCATGGATTAAACCAATGGAGTTAGAAGTGGCTTGCCCTGGAAGTACGCCTCTAGATTTCCAAGGACAAGGTCAGCCATGGCTGTGCGAGTTTCCACCGTGGCGCTTCCAATATGAGGCAATAACACAACGTTTTCTAGCCCAAACAACTCTTCTGGTACATTAGGCTCATCTTCAAACACATCTAGTCCAGCACCACCCAGTCTGCCTTCAAGAAGCGCAGAGACCAGTTCTGGCTCATCAACATGCTTACCTCGACCGATGTTAATAAGAACACCCTTGGGACCAAGGGCATTAAGAACCTCGCGATTGATGACATGGTGGGTTTCCTCTGTAAGAGGGCAAGCAACAACCAAAACATTACAGTTGGATGCCAACTCTACAACGCTTGGATAGTACTTGTAATTTGAGTCTGGTTTCTCTGTTCTAGAGTAGTAGCTTATTTTACAGTTAAATCCTTCAGCTCTCTTGGCTACTGCCTTGCCAATCCTTCCCAAACCAATGATACCAACTGTTTTCCCAGAGAACTGCAGTGGAAAAATCAAAATCAAAATGATATGGCAGTTGGCAGAGATTTTCATGTGCAGAATACAGTACATTTGCATAAGAAAGATTGATACCCTATTTGGTAGCACGGAATTAGGACAGGAGAAGTAGAACTGGAACTGAAAAACTTGTTTGGTATGGTGGATCTCAATTCTCCAAAGAATCCAGTTCCATCAAAATTGGTGGAATTCACTTCCACCTTCGTACTCATGAAAATCACTTTCCTCCATAAAAAATGACCAACTTCCATGTACATACCAATCATGTTTGAAAACCTCATTTCCACCTCACTTCCTCTTCCACTTTACCTTCCATCAAAAACTCTTCCATGTTACCAAATGGGGCATAAATTTCATCAACACATTATATGAGATGTGAATGGAACAATGACAAGTCCAAATTTAATTTAATTTAGTCTTCACCTACATGTTGAGTCCAGTGACCAGTTTTATTATAGCTCTGTACTTTGATAGAGAAGCGAGAGCAAAGATAGTACTATGTCCACCTCAATATGGATTGGAGTTTTTAGATGTATTCGGAAATATGTTCGTTAATGCCAAAACCAAACATAAGAACTTGTGTTATACAGGATAACGTCAAATAAACATTATACAACGAGCCTGAGACCCAAAAAATGCACGGAAATCACACAAGACAAATCTAGCATATAAGAGATCTAAGATACATGAATAAATAAACGAGGCAATGAACAATACGGTGTCATTTTGTCGAATGGGTAGATGTCTAAACTCTGAAGCCATTCAAAATGCTCAGATTCTCATGTTTTTTGGGGGGGCCATTTAAAGCATAGAAACTCAACAGTCAAATAGTCAATATAAGGTTTAGCACTTAGACAACGCAAAAGTTAACTGCCAGGGCCGAAACTGAATGGGAAGTAGGATGTTTTGTACAGAAATAAACAGATGGAAGTAGGATGAAAAACATCTGATTCAAAAATAGGGACTAGAAGCTCCTGTTTATACAGGAAACAAGAAAGTTTTTCTTCTTCGAACAAATAAGTAATTCACGTTTTGCTCCTTTTTTTTTGGTTTTCCAAGGGACTCAAATTATAATGAACTACTGTACAATTACCAAATGCTATCCAGATAAAGGAACTGATATGGTTCAGAATACAACCGAAAGGGAAGATAAATAACTCCTACTCCAACCTAAAGTTTCAGAAATCAGAATAACTTAAGAAATTATACATTCATCAAAACAAGAGGCTATCCGGATTTTCATAAGTCAACTATAGACACAACCATGCTGCAACAACAGTGGATAACAAAATGGTGTTCGACTTTTGAATGAATAGCACAACAGAGTATATTGATTGTTAAGGAACTCATTTACAAAGAAGAAAGTTCACTGTAGACTGTAGAGTAAAAGTACTTCTGCTACAAGCACACACTCTAGCTCCCAAGAAAATTATTCGAAAGCCTGGCATCAAAATGCACACTGTGATAAGCATCAACCAGTTGACAACATTGAACCATTTTTCTACAGGGGGGTTACCTACAACAACTCGAGATGCTTATAAAAGCATCCAAATTTAAAAATAATAAAATTAACCTCAACCATTGACAACATACAAAAGGCAGCTTCAATTGTTAGCAACGCAAAAGTCAACAAAAAAAAATTTACACTTGCCTTAGTGGTCAACTTGTAGTCACCCTTCTTCCATTTCCCGCTCCTCACGTACCGATCACACTCACAGAGCCTCCTCAACACGGCCAGAATCAAGCCGATCGTCAAGTCGGCGACTTCATCGGTCAGAACATCAGGGGTATTTGTAACCCGAATCCCCTTCTCCCTACACTTGTTCAAGTCAATCTTATCGACTCCAACGCTGAAGCTAGACACGATCTCCAGCTTGGGTAAGGCGTCGATGAGCGCGGCATCGGCGCCATAGTTGGAGTTACCGACGACAGCGCGAATGGAATTGGCGTGTTCCTTGAGGAACTGGGCGCTTTGTGGGTAATTCCAGTACCGGTAGAGCTTGAAGCGTTTATCGAGCTCTTGCTCGAGGTAGGAGATCATTGGGCAGAGCATGAGAACACCGATGGATTCCATATCAGAGTAATTAGGGTTAGGGATCGGAGGAGAATGCGGCTCTGAGGGTGTGGCCAGTGAATCACTGGACAAGGACGAGCGAGGCTTTGAGGATTTCACCAGGGCTGTTTATGTGGCGTGCAAGTGATCTTTATTTTTTTGGAATGGAAACTGAAATTCATAAAAAGTCAGCAAATAGGACAGTACAACAAGCAAATAGAGGAATGAAGAGAGTCGACTCAATATTAGGTGGGAGATGATCAAAAAAATAAGATGAACTCGTAGAATGAGCTTCACTAATAAAAAAATAAATATGACTAATGACGTCTTTAAAAACAAAATTAATAGAAATAGACTAATCTCTATGCAATCTTAAATATATAAATATATATAGAGAGAGAGTAATTAAAATTTACTATGAAATAAGCATTTTAAAGTGTTTTTTTTAGAGTTGATAATTCAGGCAGGTCGGGTTTATTCCAGTCAAACTCAATTCTGGCCAAGTTTGAAGTATATTACCTTTTAAAAATGCCCATTTAGCCAAATCTAGCCCTAACTTTTTTCAACTGAATTTGAGCTGGCTAGTTGGGTCTGGCCAAAATTGCCAACTCTATATAGATATAGAATTTAAAATTATAACAGTCGAACTTATTCGGATCAGGCTTTTTCGGATTGGACTTAAAGCATTCTATCCTCTTAAAATGCCCATATGTCAAACCTGACTCTAACTTTTTTTCAAGTGGGTTTAGGCTGGCCCATCAAGTTTGGCCCTAATTACCAGCTTTAGTTTTTACTCATGTTGTTTCTTATTACTTGAGATTTGAAAAAAAAATTTGTACATATCAAAGTTATTTTATATTATCATATTTTTTCTTATCTTAAATTGATTCTATATCAAGAGTGCTCATAGTATCATCTTTCATAACTTGAATATATGTTGATACTTGGACTAACTATTTTATTTATGATATATCATTTAAAGTTGTCCAAAATAAAGACGAGAATAAGCATGAAGAGAAAAAAATCAAAGTCGTCATTAGCATGCATGCCACACTCAAAATAAGAAAATATAAAAAGAATGATGATCCAAAAAGAGTTTAAGAAAAATGAAGACATTCATATAAATTTAGATGCATTTTGGAAACCTTGAACTTGATAGATATAATATCGTTAGGTTAAAAGTATTTATGTTGAACTCAATTGATTTAGATATGCAATATGTAATCACCTCACTATGATAATTATTAACTCCAAAATCAAAGTAATTAAGGAGATTAAACCCAATGAAAATTACTAAGTTTTTAAAATTTATAAATGGAGGAAACAAAGTCCAACCATTTGCAAATGAACCACAAGAATTTCCACACTTAAAATACTCTCAACACTTTTATGGGAATCAAATTAAAGATTTAAACGCTTTACGGAAGCATGAGAAATAAGACAACCAAGACATTTGTGTAAAACTTCAAAACAGTGAAAAATAGTGCAGAAATGGCTCGTGCACCATGGCTAAGTGCCCATGCACTATAGCTCGTTAGCCTCTGTCATGCGCCGTGAAACATTGCATAAAATTTGATAGCAAACTTTTGCTATCATATAACAGCACGGGCAACGAATTTCTGACGCGTCCCAAATGATCATCATTATTATTCGCATGTATATGAACATATTCTCAATTATCATCATCATTCGCATGTATATGAACATGCATATCATTTTCAATAATATCACATTATCAAACATGCCAAATTTGCATCAAGAATTTAAAATGTCAATCACGTTTACAAACTAATAATTTTAACAAATAATTAATTAATATATAATTATACGAACTAAGTTTCTCCCAGTTACCTTAAACCTTTGAGTGATCAAAGATTTATCCTTCACAATAACCACTCCCAAAGCTTCTTCTCAGGCTTGAATAGTGTCAAAAATGATGATTTACAATCACATTATAAGGATATCATCATTATCTCATTCTTAAGAATTTACCCACATTAAACTCTACATTTCTCGTTTCATCAACCTCATAAACTCATCACCCATCATACTTATTTAGGTTTACTAAGTTCCATTGATTCACATTATCACTAATGAGTCATTAAAATATCATTAATGAGTATCAAACACTTCCAACCACCTCATAAATGCTAAATTTTAGATATTTATAGCTCCCAACTACTAACCACTCACAAAACCATTAATGCAGAGTTTAAATACTCTAAAAAACTCCTATTATATTCATTTTAATTAATAGGTTTAGATCCATACCTTATATGGACCAAAAATTTCTATTAATACTCAAACCCTAACTCAACTATTCACAAAATGAAAGTAGAAGAAAGAAAGGAAGCATATTATACTTACCTTAAGTATTGAGAAGCTTCTAAATATCCTCAATGGTCCAAATGTGCGTGCCCTACCAAAGCAATTTCGTATTCTTCATTTTCTCCTTTTCTCCTCTTCTATTTTTGCATGCACACATGAATTGTTTTATTTAAATATTTGGTCGTGCATTGTAGCGCACGCAGCCCTCTACCATGACGTGTGACACAAAGAGCTCCAGTTTCATGCTGATTGCCTTTATGTGCCACAACAGGGGTTTCTTATGCCGCAGCATGTGGCATAGAGGAATTTTCTTCAAATTTTTTTCTTATTTCCTTGCCTGAATGGCTTAATTTCACTTCAGACCCACATCTTAAGCTAAAATCACAATAAAACACATTCTTTAAAACCTTCTAGCCATACACATCATCAATTCACTCATTACCTTGATTAACTTAAGTAATTGATGCTTATATTTATAGGATGTTATACAATATTAGCTCAAGATATTTTAAATCAAACCATATATTTTAGCTCTTAAGATAAACAGTGAGATATAATTTTCTATAATTATGATTTTCATCTTTGATCATATATATCTTATAAGGTTTTAAATGTTTTAATTAATAACTCCATAAAGTTTTTAAAGTTTTTCTATTTACTCAAAATAAAATTAAATTGAAAAAGTCATGAACACTTGAAATCTAAGTTTTAGAATATCAATTGTACAGAAAATCAAATTTGACCTTTGGTCATGTTTCTTATCATGTGTCTCATTACACAGATCATTTTAATGTAAAACATATCTCATTTGAAAAAAGACTCCAACATGTTTTTAATGATAGTTCATTCATTCAAAATAAAATTTTATTGTAAAAGATGCAAATTTTAGAAGTTGAGCGTTTAGATATTGATTTTGCACAACATTTAGAGTTGACTTTTGTTCACTCTTTTGATAATATCTCAAAATTTATTTTAAATTTTAGTGTGAAACTTTTTTTTATTTAAAACTAAACTTCAAGAGCTTTTTAAGGATATATAATTTGTTAAATTTGAAGTTGTATTGGGTAAGTTATAGTCTTATAAAATTCTATGTAGTGGCACCCTCTAAAACATGCGTGATTGAAACTTGCACACACGCGTGAAATGTTCTTAAAAAGCTTCAGTGTCCAAATAATGCATGAATCACTTCCTATACATGCGTGAAACATCACCCAAAAGCCTTATTTTGACTTAATAGCTTCTGTAATTCAAATCAAGCGTAAATCACTTCCTATTTATGCTTGATTTGTCACCTGTGCAATACAACATGACATTTCAAGCGTGATTTGTCATGTTTCCAACGAGATTTGTCACATTTTCTTGTAAGAGTTTTGTATCATACAAAAAATGTCATCAATAGCTATAATCACTATGTTACAACTATAAATGTTCATATTATGTCTCCAACACCCATTTCATTCCATAGGTTATAAATATAACACTTTAAATTTATCTTAATAAGTGATTAACCTTAAAAATTATCAAGTTATGAAATTCTTGTTTATATTACTCTTATTATACGAAAATCATAGTTCTTGAGTCAATATCATTTATATTTTCATCATTTGAGTATTAGAACTTCATTGTACTCATCATTACTCTCAAGAAGAGTTTCAACTGAGTGATTTACATACTCAAAATCATTGTAAAGATGAGGGAGAGATTTCCCTTGCAATCAATAGAGGTTATTTTCTTAGGTCATGTTTGGTACATTAGAATTGGGTCCAAAAGAAATGGAATTAGAATTGGAATCATGCTTTCAATTGTTTGGTATGCATGAATCCAATTCCTTATGGATTTCAATTTTAACAAAATACCTAGAATTCAATTCCATCTCCATCATGATGGAATTGCCACAATTCCATAAAATTGTCATAAGTGCCTCACATACACACTCCATCATGATGGCTGAGCTTTTTATTTTTTTTGTAAGGGCATTTTGGTCTTTATCTATTTTAAATACATATATTTATTAATATTATATTCAAATTCCATCTTCATACCAAACTACATTTATAACTCAATTCTATTCTGATTCCAATTCCGATTCCAATTCCAATTCCAATTTCAATTTCAATTTCATCAAAAACTCTTCCATCATACCAAACGAGGCCTTAGAAAATGAAGTTTGCTAGTAAAGTGAGTTACTGTAAATAGAGGTGAGAATATGGGCCAACTGACTTATATGGGTTGAATCACACTGGTTGAGAGAAATATTAGTTGAGTTGAGTTCAACTCATTTTTATATAGGTTAGAAAAATCTTAACCCTTGAGAGTTGGTGAGTTAAATGGGCTAACTCACCAACTCATTTATTTATTTTTAATTTATTTTAATGAATTTTTTAAAAGAATAAATAAGTTTTAATTTGATATTCCTTCATGATTCATTCTAAGTATACTAACATATTAATTTATAATATTTGTACAAAATTTCCCTTTTTTTCTTTTTTTTTTATTTTTTAAAAATAATATGGGTTAAATAGGCTAACCCTAACCCATCAGAATTAGCCTATATGGTTTACAGGTTATATGGTCTGGCCTAGAAAAAACTCATTTTTATTTGAATTTTTTCTAACCCACTCGACCCTTATAACCAATTATTCGAACCAATTTACATAACCCAACCAATATTTCTGACTCTAACTGTAAAGACTCACAAGTGCACGAACTAAACTTGTGATTGTATTAAGGTGACAAGCACCTACTTAATCTTGTGTTATAATGGAGAAATCTTAAGTGATCGCTTGGGAACTAAACATAGGCTCTAGTGGTGAAGTTGAAATAGGATAAATCATTGCTTGTAATCTCTCCTCCCTTATCTCTTTATATTTTCAGCAACCTTAGTTTATGTTATGTTTTGGTATACAAAATTAAATTTGATATATCTACATGCTCTTACTTAAACTTGCACTTAAAAATTATTTCTAAACATTTTTACACATATTAAGCTTGCAAAAATAACTTTAACATTTTTACATGCAAAGTTTAGAACTCAAATTTGCTTTAACTTTCTTTTAAATACAGTTTTGTTGAAAAAATTTCAAAAGAACTAAAAATTTCATAAACACTTAAATCACCCCTCTTTTGGATATGTTGTCATGTCTAACAAAATTAATAATTATTATTTTAGCTTTTAAACTTTTTGAGTAGAAACGGTTGATAGAATTAAGTCTTTTTATTCCTCGTTTAAATTTATTTAAAATACTTTTTATAAATAATATGCGCATATTTTAAAGTTTCTTGCGCCTATTGCAATTTTTTAAAATAAAATAACATTTATATAAATAACATAAAACTATAAATATTAATTCATATTTATTTACATTCTATAAAATTATACATTATAAATATAATGGAAAACATTTATTTTATAATTTTTCTAATTATAATTATATAATTTATATCATATTCATTCTACATAAAAAACATTTTTTATAAATATATACTCACATTTCACTCCCACACCACACAAGGAATAAAAGATGGGAGAATGATAGAGAGGTCCCCTCAATTCAAATTTATAATTTTATTGTGATAAATTTATAACTTATGTTTTAAATTTTAACAGAAAAATAAATTTATTTATTTTTTAATTATGTTAAAATTTTAAAAATAAATTATAAATTCATTATAACGAAATTACAAAATTAAAAGATGAGCTTATAAATTTTTAAAATTTAATATTTAAAATTTAATCTAAATTAATTAGTTCATTTGGTATCTATCTCCCATTCTCTCGTAAAAGATACAGGGTGGATCTAGGAGAGGGGAAATGGGGCGCAACACAGGTAGCATCATAGTTTTTTATTTTTTTAGTTTTCTTCAGTTTTTTTTTTTTTTTTAGTTTAAATGAAGAACCTGGTCTCTCACATAAACAGAGTTCTGTACTGCAACATTTGATTAAAAAAAAAAAGTAGAAATCAGTTTGACACGTAGGCGGAGTTCTTAATTTATGGTATTTGGAAAAATATTTTTAAATGTATATCATTTATGTAAATAATTTTTGTATGCAGTATTGAGGTCAGATTTGTCAGAATTGCTTGTTATTATTATTTTTGGAAATCATATAAATAATGAAAGTGTGAGCCTATCCGTGTTTCGATGACTCATCATGGTCTCATCTTTTTGGCAGCATCTCAACAACCTTTTACATTAGATATTTAAATTTGGTGGTGGCCCAGATCCATTCATATAATAAGTATTTTATAAATTATAATAATAATTATTTAATTTAATCGAATGTTTGTAAAAAAAATTATTATATAATATTAAAAAACTATTAAATTACAGTTTGGACAAGTAAAATTTATTTAAGTTGAATTTAAAATATCCAAAAATATAAATATAAAATGACATATAATTAAGTCTAATTCTATTATCTTTGTCTCTGAATATTTATATTGTTAAAAATTATTTTACTTTTAATTAATTTTTATTTTTATTTTAAAAAATTTAATATATTTCTCGCAATATAAGATTACAACATTTTTTTTTATCTTCACTTATGTCAGACCTAACATTAAAAAAAAGTAAAAATGAAAGTATACATGTGATAACCTTTTATAATTTTGTCTTAGTATTTCTAAAAAAAAAATCAAAACAAACAGTTTCTATTATTGTAACATTGAAATTTCATTCAGGAGTGCAGTTGATAGAGAGTTTGTACACATTAAATGAAGATTAAAGTGAAGATTAATTTATTTTATTAATAATTATAAAGAGCAAGATTAACTCTTTTGTTGGGAGAAGCACAGAACTGCTGCGAATAATTTTCTTATTTTTCAAGTCTTCAGATGGGAGATATAAAAATATTAAAAAATACCCATAATTTTTTTAAAAAAATTACATACAAGTCCTGCATAAGAAAATTAATTAACACAAAATCAATTAACAACACATTTAATAGTCTTAGTTTAATTGTTAATAAACTTTATGATAATTAATTTCTTTGTATAAGATTCTAATGCGATTCTCTTAAATTTTTTCCACCTAATGATACCATAAAATTAATCACAGTAAAAAACACTCAATTTCTAAATCGACATGTTAAAAATGAAGGTAATTTTTTATCATATGTTAAATTGATTCTTAATAAAAAAAGTTAATAGTAACATAATCTATGTTTTAATCCATAAATTAATTGGCTGGGCAATGGACATTGTCTGTCCGTCATCCTGGTCTTTAGCTACCTTTGACCTGGGGATTACAACCTCATCCATCCAATACCTAACATCATAATTCATGCACCACAACAGATTCCTCTCCCAACAAAAAAAAAAAAAATGCAAGAAAATTTGTTTCTCTCTACTTTCCCACAACATGCACCCCACGTTCTAAGAAACCCAGCTAAACATTGGAAAAAATAGCACAACCCATCAAACAATCAGCTCCACACTTTCTCTCGATCTCCTAAAAAAGATTTTCATTCCTCATTTTCCTTCTCTCTCTAGATCTCTTGCACCACAAGCAACGATCGAAAGTTTAGTTTTTTCTGAGACCTCATGTTTTGTTGGTTCTTCCTTGTTAATCTTCCGTAGCTAGGAGAGCTTCTCCTTCTCCTTCTTCATTTGGACATGGTGGAGCAGGAAGGTTACATGTCGAAGCTTTTCAATTTTAAAGGGAGGCATAAAAAGAGTGTGAGCGTTGAGAGTGGAAGCATCTTGGAATCTTCAAAAGAGGAAGATCCATTGTCTTCAAGAAGTCAAGGATCAAACGCTCTGAATGACGAGTCTGCTTCTGATCAAAATGGAGGTCCTGATAAGTCAAGCTCAACCATTGAAGAAGCAGCAGCAGTTAAAGAAGCTAAAGAGAAACTACACCAAGGTGAATAAATATATAATAATATCATCATTTGTAATGCAGCCCATTTGGTTTGAATCAGAGGATGAAATTGAAATCCATTTTTGTTTGGTGTGGTTGACATTCAGAAATGGAACAGATGAAGGAGAGATTTGCAAAACTGCTACTGGGCGAGGATATGTCTGGTAAAGGAACGGGTGTTTCCTCTGCTTTGGCTCTGTCTAATGCATTCACAAATCTTGCTGGTAAGTTCGCTTTTTCCTTCATCTCCCTGCAAACAATGATGATATAAATAATAATCAAGAACCAAATTAATCCTTCAGGTTTTTTATGTTTTAATCATAAAATATATTGGATGAACAAAGATAACCACCTTGCACTTAAGTCTTTTTTGGCACTTGAGGATGCAGCTGCTGTGTTTGGTGAACAAAAACGACTAGAGCCAATGCCACCGGAGAGAAAAGCAAGATGGAGAAAAGAAATTGATTGGCTTCTTTCAGTTACTGATTACATCGTGGAAATGGTTCCATCACATCAAATAAATGAGGATGGCTCCCACATGGAGGTAAATTTTCCCCCGTCTCTTAGTCTCTCTGAGAAATTGTGTAAGATGATTCCTGACACTGATCTCGATTAAAGCTTGATCTTTGATTGAATAGATTATGACGACAAGACAAAGAGTTGATCTCCTCATGAACGTACCTGCATTGAGAAAGCTTGATGCTATGCTTATTGTAAGAACACTATGAGCTAGAACTTTGCGTGGCCAATGCCATTATCAGTTTTCTTTACTAGGCAACAATTGATTAGAATTTTCTGAAACAAATGGGGATGATGCTCAGGATTGCCTGGACAACTTCGAAGGCCAAAGTGAGTTTTATTATGTATCAAAAGATTCAGACGACAATGAAAAGAGAAAAGGTGATGATAAGTGGTGGTTGCCCGTACCTAAGGTTCCCCCAGAAGGTCTATCTGAAAACTCGAGAAAATTTCTGCAGCATCAGAAAGATTCTGTCAATCAAGTGCTTAAAGCAGCCATGGCCATAAATGCTCAAGTCATAACAGAAATGGAGATCCCTGAAAATTACATTGAATCCCTCCCAAAGGTAAGAGGAAAGCGGCCACTAGTATCAGTTTCAGTTGGCTCTCTCAATTTTTGCTTAAATTCCAGTTTCGTGTATTAAAATGATGGTGATCATCTCCAGAATGGGAGAGCTAGTCTGGGGGATTCAAACTACAGAAGCATTACAGTAGAATATTTTGATCCTGATCAGTTTCTGGTAACCATGGACCTGTCATCAGAGCATAAAATCTTAGACCTCAAGAACAGAATAGAGGCGTCTATAGTGATTTGGAAGAGGAAAATGAACCAGAAGGATGGGAAATCAGCCTGGGGTTCAGCTGTGAGTTTGGAAAAAAGGGAACTTTTTGAAGAGAGAGCAGAAACCATCTTGCTTCTCTTGAAGCAGCGTTTCCCTGGCCTTCCTCAATCTTCTCTAGATATCAGCAAAATCCAGTACAACAGGGTAAGACCAGCTTCTGTCTCCTTCCTTGTCTCTTTCCTCTTCATTAGATGTAAGAAAATTCCAGTTCCAATGGCAAGGTTTCATGATGAACTACATATGTTGGTTATTTGTGCTTCATTAGCTTAAATTAAACATCTCTTCTTCAATTGGCAGGATGTAGGGCAAGCAGTTCTTGAGAGCTATTCAAGAATACTAGAAAGTTTGGCATTCACAGTTCTCTCAAGAATAGAAGATGTACTCCATGCAGATTATCAAACTCAAAACCCATCAAAGAATGCTAAAAGAAGCGCTCTAAGGGGCGTTCCAAAGTCACCAAGTCCGACTCCTTCTAAACAAGAGTCGGATACAGGTGCGGCAGAAACACCTGTTTCAATGACACTTTCAGATTTCATGGGTTGGGAAGGTGATGCAGGTGACTCAGACATGAAGAAGGACTCTCAGGTTGTTACAGATGACTTGTGCAAAGACACGGAAGGAAAAATGCAAAAACTTCCCAACATAGACACCAACAAGAAGGTATCTTACCTTGAGAACTTGGGCGGCATGAGGAGCCCAACATCACGCCATTGAACAGAAAAGCAGAAGATGAAGCTGAAGATTGAACATGAGAATAGCTGAGTGATTATGTTTCATCCTTGGTCTATTCTTGACTTTTTTAGATAGGATGATTATGCAGAATCAACCCGTTTGAACAACTGTTTGATATAATGCCATCTGTACAATAAATAAGGAATTGTAGTCTAGTAGTTATCATAATCTGGCTTTTTGATAACTTCAGATATCAGTCTTTTGCCCGCTTCATCTTTATTTTCCCTTTAAGCTGTTATTAGCTAGCAAGGTAATAGCTTGTTCAAGCCATAAAGTCGTCAACACAACATAAAAAATAAGATTAATGAACAAATAGGACTCTGAACTCTTACTCGAAAATCATTCTGAATTTTGAACTCCTAAAATATGCAAAATAAATCCTAAACTTTTAGATTCATAATAAAATAAACTCCAAACGTTAACTTTTTTAACACTGTTATTGTCCAAACGGGTACTATAACAGGGTTAAATTTATAGAAAAACAAATCCTGAAAAATATGTGCATGAACAATAATAATATTAAAAAGTTAATGGTCAAGGTTTGTGTTACCATGAATTTAAAACTTTAGAGTTTATTTCACATATTTTAAGAGTTCAGAGCGATTTTTAAATAATAGTTCAAGATCTTCTTTGCTCATTAACCCTAAAAAAAAAGGATTCATTCCGTTTGGATTTACAAAAAACCTTCTGTTCCCTTCTCTTAGGGTTGATTTCAAGTCATGCATACTCTGTGGTAAAAGGAGATCGAGAGGAAAGGAAAGAACATCACAATCAAACAGACCAAACATATTGGTCTCAGTCTCATTTAAAAATTAAACACCATAGAGGATGCTTATGCTGCGTACATACTTACACATTGAGGATTGAGATATATTCAATTTTATACATTAACAAAAACCAAATTGTGGGTTTCTCAAACTAGATTAGATCTTGCCACGTGGACCCAGCTTTGGAGGCTGTTGTGGGCCCTTAACAATGGGTAGAATGTCTCCTGAAGCTGTGGAACTGAAGTAAGCAAGGGTAGAACCACCTCCCAATATCAAGAACTTGAGGAGCAATCCTCTCTTTGTGAATGGAGCAGCAAATGTCTCAAAGAACTTGCTCTGCAAATCCAGATCAGTTCAAGAGCAATGAAATTTTGCGTTATTAAAGAGCTAAAGAGCATATATCACTAATATATACTATAACTATGCTACTAATCAATCATTGACACATTGACAAGTCAAACTAAAAATAAAAAATAAAAACACAGGACTATGCTTGTTAATGATCAACACTGCAGACTGCAGTCAACACTACCGTTATTGATACATCCACCACACAATCATAATGGATGCCAGGAAATGATCAATATCTTAGCACATTGAATACACATTAAGAATGTACTAATTCTCGTGGGAATATGATAAAAAATTTGATCATTTTGACATCGCAGCTTTCATAGCTCAGTTGGTTAGAGCACCCGTTTAGTAAGCGGGAGGTCTTGAGTTCGACTCTCAATGAAAGCACAGTGTTTTTCTTGATTTTTCTATTTTGTTTGTTTCAATTAAAATTCCTATTTCCTCGGCATTAAATTAAATCAAAAGTGAAGAAGATTGGAGAGAAGAAAAGAACCTGAAGAGGGTTATAAGGTGAAGGGGCATCAGAGCCAACAAATCCCACTGCCCAGTGGTGTTGCCCAGATCTTCCAAATCGAAGTACACACTCTTGTCTCCGTACTTTGCCATCAAACCACCAGTCCTGAGCAATAACATATTTTAAATGCATCACATAAAAGCGAAACATCGCAGTACAAAACAAAGAAAAGAAAACGAAACGACAAGCGATAGGCACCTCAATTTTTTGGGTCTGAAATTGGGGCGGGAGGGCCTGACGGAGAGCTTAGTTCCAGTGAGCGAACTTCCGGCAAGGCCCTTGACGGCAGCTGGTTGAACAGCTGCTACGGTCTTCAGTTTTCCGCCCGTGTGCGGTGAAGCTGTCAAGCTGGTGTGCGTCGGTTTTTTAACTGTTAATTGGATCTGAGAGTGCCACGTGGCCATTTTTGTCTTCTTTGGGCAGATTTTGAGAGTTCATTCAGGAGGTGCCACGTGGTCTAGGGAAGCAAAAGCCCATCAAATATAGCAGGGAGAATGACACATGGATGCTAGGAGGATGAATTAATTAAAATTAAATTTTAAATATCAAACTTTAAAATTTATAAGTTTAATTTTTAATTTTATAATTTTATTATGATGAGTTTAAATTTTAAATTTAAATTTTTAATAAAAATAAATTTAATTATATTAAAATTTTAAAAAATAACTTATAAATTTATTATAATAGAGTTGTGAAATTGAGAGTTAGATTTATAAATTGTTAAAGATTGATACTTAAAACTTAATTTAAATTAATTAATTTTCTTGAGACTTATATTTCATTCTCCTAATATTATATCCATCTTTAGGTTTTTATTCAATGCTAATCAAGCACATTTATTCTTTTAATTTTATAGAAGATTTTATTTGATATTTAATTTTATAAATTATTTTTTAAGTCTTTTAATCTTAATATGATTAATTTTATAAAAAAATTTCAGATTAAACTTTTAAATATTGATAATAAATTAATACATTATCAATGATGATATATTAAATTTGATTTTTTTAAAATAATAACACTTAGCATAAAAATAATCAGTTAAAATTAACAATTTTAGAATTAAATGATTGAAAAGATAACTTACAAAATTAAAGACTAAACTGAAATTTTATATAAAGTTATAGGATGAAAGATATACTTTAGCCATAACTTAATATCTTTTCAACAAAGTATTTAATTAGCGTTGTACTACTAAGTTGGTTAAAATTTTCAAATTATATATTTATCTTTTTTTTAAAAAAATTATAATTTTTTATTCCTATGAGAAGAATGATTGAATCTTATTATCAATATAATAATTTTATATGTTGGTAATTTATAAGTATTTTTATGGGTACTTTTTAAGATGTTGATGTGCTCTTTAAAGGAGTAATCTAGCGAGCTTTTTTTTTTTATTGACAAAATGCTTACAGCAATAGTGAAGATTTTTAATTGATGGCTCTTAATCTTAAAAGGAAGGTGAGAGATAATTAAAGTGTAATATCTCAATTTAAATTTTAATAGTTAATTTTGATTAATAAAAATTTTAAAAAATATTTAGAAGTAAGCAAATTAGTAGAAAATGATTATTAAATCTAATTTAGGATATAATTCTAAATTAAAATAAAAAAATTAAAAAATTATTAATTAATTAAAAAATAAATAAATAAACATTATTAAATTATTATTATTATTATAAAAAGAAAGAAAGAGAAAAGGTATGAGAAAAAGGAAGGAAAGAAAGAAGAAAACGAAATCGGTGGCTTTCGGCATATGATTATGTATAAAATAATAAAAAAAAAAGAGAAGAAGAGAGAGGAAAGAAGAAATAATAAAAAAATGTGGGACCCACTGAATTTTTATAAAAATTCACCTGTTTCCTTCGTTTCTTCACTTCTTTCCTTCGTGCGCGAGCTGAGGCAGAGTGAGCCTGAGTCTCCGGTGCGGGAGATCTGAGTTTTTAAGGTAAGAGTTTTTAATAGGATATTTAGGGTGTGATTTTAAGTTTTTTAAGACTAAGTAAGTGTTCTAAAAATTTTCTTAGTGATCCTTCCTCTTTGGTTTCTGAGTTTGTGGTGGTAGAAAATTTAGGATTTGAAAGAGGGATGAATTTATGTTGAATAAATATGGTTTTTGAGGTTGTTAGTAGTATAATAAAGTTCTAGAGTATAAATTTATTGATGATCTTTGAATTTGTGGCTTATGGATCAAATTCTAAACTAAATTTAAAAATATATGTTAATTTATTGAGGTTTAGATGATTATTTGGGATGAGAAATGAATTATTATGGCTATAGGATTATGATTCTAAGCTAGAGATTCAATTTTTAATTTTTAAATATTTTAGGTGCGAATTTATAAAATAAAAAAAAATTTTGATAATAGAAATTAGTTTAAAATTTAATTTTTAGATTATTAATGTTTATTGATGAGTAAAAGAGGAGTTAAAAATTTTACTTAATAGTATTAACTCTAAATTTGTATTAAGATTGAGATTAGGAATTATGTTATATTTTTTTAATTCTATTATTAGAATTATTTTATTAGTTTCAATAATTGAAACTAATATTTATAAATAATATGTTATTTGTAGATTGTGTTATTGGTGAAGATTGTGGTGGGAGAGAAATTATAAGGAATAATTTATTGAAAAAGTCACAAGGTAATCATGCTTTTAATTTGTGATTAGTGTTACTTCATATTAATTGGGTGATTATTGAGAAAATTATAAATTTTGTAATATTGTATAATTGTATAATATTATTATGAATTTGTTTGATTATTGTGGGAGGTGTTGGGAGACTTGCTATTGTTGTTGTATTTATGTGCCACGTGGTACGCCCCTATTGGAGCTCAATAGGTGGCTTGTAAGGGCTCGAGCTAATCTACTTTTGGCCGGGTAATTTAGCACCGAGTGAGGGCTACGGCTCGAGGTTAATGGAGGGATATAAGGATGGTTGTTTGTGTGTGTTGTAATATTTCTTATATTTATTGGAATTATATTATTTTTGGTTCCCACTTAGTAAGCACACACTTAACGATTTGTACACATTATCATAAATTGGCTTTGGTTACTGGGACTTTTGAGTCTCATTATGTGGTTAACAATTTTCAGGAGAAGAGCCACGAGTGACACGTGGAGGAGTCCCAGAGACTTAGTGGCATAGATCCACTGTCTCTTTTGGGTATTTAATTTATGATTTATAATGTGTTATATTGCCAATATTAGAGCTTTTTGTTTATTGTCAATTATATGAATATATAAATGTAATCATGCCTTTCAAACTATTTCTATTTTTGGTACAATTTGAATGACTGTAATTTTAATATTTGGTTTTCTTTGAATTGGTTAAAATGGCATGATTATAAGGCCAAATAACTGGCTTGTGTTGAAAATTGACTAAATTGTTTAGTTTACTTGTTGGGAGTATAAGGATGGACAAATGTGATTTAACCTAATAGCATGTGGGAGGTAAAAATTTATCTGAAATGTTATATTGTGTGAGTTGAAGCCAATTATAAAATATTTTATATTGAAATTATTGATATAAAAATAAGTTGGGTGGCTGTAATCCAACTATG